TACGTATTATTGTTTATTATTAGTATAGCGCTGTTGAAGATTGTTCAGTATCAAGTTATGAGTACCAGAGGTAAAGTTGAGTGTCAAGTGAACTTCATTTTGAATACCGTATTTCCTCGAATAGACCCCGCACGTCGATTATTACCCGCCCTCAAATAGTCCCCGCACCTGTCAACTTTTAAGTGAAATAGTAGCCGCCCTCTAATTGTACCCGCATAGTTTAATTTTAATAATTTTGGGTGTGGCATTATACTAGCGCTAGCTGAACGTGCCAGCATATAATGCCAGTATCTATGCGCTGAGCTTAAGAGCAAATAGTTGATCCCTTGGTTGGTTGATCTAGTTGTCGAAAGCACTGTAAACAACCAGGAAGATGAATCTCACTTACTACCAGAGTACTACCGCTATTGCTGGGCATTCTCTCGTGAGTTAAAAAGCTTCCAGTAGCTAGAGCTGGGATCAACTATAATACTCGCCTCCCGGAAATGAAGGACTGTGTGGGCGTGGTAACCACACCCACATCACGTCACGATGATTACAGCATTATGGGCGTGTCCAAAATAAAAATGGCGTCTTTTAAACAGTGGATATTACACTTCTAAAATCTAATGACTTAAGGATGATAAATTGGGCTTTACCTCACGAACTCTGAGCAGGTTGGATTATTAACTCATTATTTATATATTAAAGTGATTAATTATTATTTTTGAGTAGTAGTAAAAGTAGAAACAAAACAAATCCAGAAATGGAAAGAAACCAGATCAGAAACATAAAGTAAGGGACTCCGAACATAAGTAGGAGACTCCTAACATAACTAGCGATGTCAAAAGTGTGAGTGTGTATAGTTGTTTGTGCAACTTGTTTGCATGCATGTATAAAAATGATCTGAATGATCAAACTGTCAATTTTTATTATTTTTTATCTAATTCCAGATGTGAGGAAGGTGACTTCTTAGGCGTATGTATGAAAGTGAAAATCAGTGATAAAGACGGATTTTAAACACTTATTTTTCTTGTATTTAATGAGCAACAATCGCAATGTTCAATTTTTTAAAAAATAGTTTTGGAAAAATTAATATCAATATTAAAGTGCGACATACATGAACATTTGACCATGCAGTTCTAAGAGTATACATGCAAGTTTCTTCATTACGACCTGTAAGATCTCATGGTACTGTGAACCACTCTATCACATTAGTTGATCCCATAACTGGTGCTTATACTTAACACATTGAGTTGTACTGGAATCGAGCAAAGCTGCAATTGAAGAGGATGAAAGGGTGTCATTCAGCCCTTTAGTCACAGCCTTACCAGCTCTATAATAATTAATCACTTTAATATATAAATAATAAGTTAATAATCCAACCTGCTCAGAGTTCGTGAGGTAAAGCCCAATTTACCATCCTTAAGTCATTAGATTTTAGAAGTGTAATATCCATTGTTTAAAAGACGCCATTTTTATTTTGGACACACCCATAATGTTGTAATCATCGTGACGTCATGTGGGTGTGGTTACGACGCCCACACAATCCTTTA